TTTAAGCAATAAATCTTGGCTATGCTAAAATATCTAATCAGAAATATCTAATCACATAATCAATAAAGCTTGGGCAGGTAGTGTCCTAAATTCAAACTTCATTTCAGAGCATAATGTTTGATCCTGTGTTTTATGTCTTTTAAAAAGCATTATACTTCGCTAACGCTGTTTCCAGAAGGTGTTTTGTGAGAAGGCAATGGCCGGGAGTCACACGCATTCTCATGCTGCCTTCCCCTCCTCCCTGAAGCGATGGGAGAGCCCAGGTCTGAGGTGACTGTCACACCACAGCCCGAGCGCTGACACCATTTCTGAAGCAGCGTCAGCTAATCAGATTACTTGCTTGTCACTCCTTTTGGTTTTTTATCCTAAAAATAAGAACACTGGTCAGCCAGAAGTGGCCATTTTGTTAAAAACCATAGAACTAGACAGATTTGTGACCCTTAGTAGGACAGTAATCCATCTGTCATTGAAATAGATCAATTTGAAAATTAAACTGATTAATCTGAAAGAAAACAATGTTGATTTTTCCCACAGTAAGCAGCATTTCCTCAAATAGATTTTCCTAAAAAGATTTGGAAGGATATGATTACCTGTTCTTCATTCCTCTGCTGAATCCAGAAACAAGGCCCATGTCTGTTAAAGAGAAAAATGGGGTGCAGTTTATGTTTTGGGACTCTGTAGCGTCTGTCTGATCCTGCAAGTTTCATGTATTTGGCCAGGCTTAATGCTAAAGCTTTTTGATGACTGGCATAACGTTTCTAACACCCATCGGTTGGTAAGCGTGTGACTATGTTTGAATTATCTTCTGCATTTAGTTTTTTGCTTTACTGTCATTTTTATGTTGTCTGGTCACACACACAAGAATCCTGGTGATTCTTTCAACAGTGTGTGATTGGACTAATAACTTCACATGTTGAAGAGTTTTGTGCTGCAGCTGAGAAGCATGTAAATACAAGCTGCTTATTTGCAAGAAGCTTCCAGATTTGCAGTATGATTGCTATGGAAACCACATAATGAAAACCTTATAACCATCTGTGTGGCTTGATGGATTTTACTGCATAGCTGAGCTGTTTTTGTTTACTGTTATTAAAATGTGGAATGGAATATATTAACCCACAAACACTATTTGAGGTATTAATTAGTATTATATAATGACATCGTGCCTGAACACCAAAATAAAATGTTTAATAATAAACCTAAATAAGACAATGTGTGTGTATTATTGTGAAGGTAATTGTGGCCTAGAATTTTTCTCACCTCTTTTTCCCTTTTTTTTTTTTTTTTTTTTTTTTTTTT